CCCCCTTTCTTTCTTTCCTCTCTCTCTTTCTTTCTTTTTGGTTGTTTTGAGCCAGGGTCTCACTATATAGTTCAGGCTGCCTTTGAATTTACTATCTAGCCCAGCCTGGCCTCGAACTCTCAGTGCTCCTCCTGTCTCAACCTCCTGAGTGCTGGGATTATAGGCATGTGCCACCATAGCTAGCTTCATGCTTCCATTTTGGCATCCGTCTTTGGTGGTACTTGTGTATCTGGCCACATCTTTTTCAAGCCCTACCCCCTGTGCTCCCATAAGCGGCATCTCTGTGCTCTTTTCTCTATCTCAGGAGCCTGAGTGAATGGTGTCTGGGGTGAATGGCGTCTGGGGATTGTGTGACCAACTGTGTGGATGCCAGCTATTAGAGCCATTAAAGATAACTGGGAAGCCTGACTCCCTGAACAGATCGGTCCCTGTTGAATATTGGTGTGGCTATGAAGATGCTTTGACATGGGCACATATAATCAGGTCACAGTTTCCTTAGGCAAGACTCTATGCATTAGCCATGAGGACCAAGGTTGGGAAATTAGATGCTGTAGGGTGAGAATCTGGGGCTGGGGTGTAGAACCCTGGCTATTCAAAGTTGTTTGCTTGTTGATTGGCCAGGTAACTCACTGGTTCATTTTGTCATTCATTGCCATAACAGACATTTACTAGGTACTCACTGACTGAGCATGGGCAGGGTACTGGGAAAGAGCCTGTCACACAGTGCCTGTCCATGCCATGAGTTGTAGTTTCTGGATAAGCCCAGGGTGGGCACTTAGGAGGGCATCTGTGTAACCCAGGTGGGAAGTACCAGAGCAGGTGAGCTGGGATAGAGGCATCTGATGAAGTGACAGGAGTGTGCGGCATGGACCCACAGCTGGGCACCACTGTTGTGTAGCCACACAGTCTCGGAAGTGTTGCCTCATCTCAGCTTCTGTGGCTGTACAATGGGATGATGTGTATGTACAGGTCTGCCTCAAGCACTCAAAGGCAAATCATATAGTTTGAGTTTTTGAGTTGGAAAAGGCACTGAGAAGAACAAGAAGTTCATATAATATTAGTGGGGTGCAAGTCAGGAGGCTGAGAACCCCACTTGCCAGGGGGGCCCTGACTCTGCATAGGTGCTGGCTTGCCCTGTGGGGCACAGGAAAATGTTCCTGTGAGAGGTATGGAAGCCACCCTGTAGGGGAGACCCTCTTCCTGTGCTCTTTTGGTTTTCATTTCTTTCCCTTTCCCCAGCTTCAAGGAGAAAGATCCTGCTATGGAAAGAAAATGAATGGCAGCCACTCATCCCTTCTGCTTCTCATGCCTGCCCCTCCCACCAGACAAAATCTCAGCTTTAGGGACTTCTTTCTTTGTTCTCTAAGCTTGTGTGCTGGGTGGAGAGGCAGTGAGCCGTGGGACCCGGTGGGCTGTGCAGGTTCGGACTTAGGATGCTAGGAGCAGAGGGGCAGCCTGCCTGCTCCGTGGCCGTGGAGACCCTTCCCTCTGTGGAGGTCCTGGGAACATATGGAAAGTCACAGCTCCGCTTAGGAGTCTGGAAGACAGGCCTAGGACAAGACCACTCTCACCTGGTAGCCCAAGCCGCCCAGTGCCCTTGGGAGTCATCAAGGGTGGGTTAGCCCAGAGACAGCTGGGGCTCAGGTGCTGTCATCACACGCTGCAGAACACCCAGTCTCAGCTCTCTCTCCCACCTGACTAGGGTGGCCGGTGGCGTCTGTCCCTGGGAACGCTGTGGTCCTGAAGTTCCTCTGGCATCTGTTCCTTCTCTGCACTGTGGTTCTGCCGAGGCTGTTGGCTCCCGTCTCTCCTAAGACAGAGTCTGTCCTTGGAAAAGGAGGGAGAATGGGACAGGGTCCCCAGGGAGCCCAAGTCCCAAGATGTTGCTTCTAATATTGTACATGTGACTACTGGAATACTATTAAGCATTGCTAGTATGCGTGGGCATGTGCTATGTATCACCCCTCTTACAGGTGAAGGTTCTAGGACTCTCATGGATACTTAAATCTGAGATGCTAAAGTCCCTTATATAACATGGTATAGAACTTTTACTTAATGATAGAGACACGTTCGGAGACCTTTGTCCTTAGGTGATTTCCTCAGGGTGCAAACTTCATAAAGTGGACTTACACGTATTCACGTGGTATAGCCTCCCCCACACTAGGCTCTGTGGTCTGTCCCGCTGTATGTGTGGTCCTTCCTTGACTGAAGGACTGTGTGGCACTATTTGCATGAGTTTTTGCACACTTGCTTGGCATGTCCTCCCAGACACTTTAAGTCATCTTTAAATACTTATGCCATCTAATACAATGCAGATGCCATGGAAATCATTGTTTGTTGTATTGTTTAGGGAATAACGACAAAAGCTTCTGCACCTGTTCAATACAGATACAACTAAAAAGTTATTTTTTCAGTTCTCTCTTGGTGGAATCCTCAGATGCAGAACCCACAGATATGGCAGATTGATTGCTATTGTTGTTACCCTTTTATAGACTAGGAAAATGCAGCACAAGGAGGCTGAGTAATTTTGCTCAAGATCACAGAGCAAAACTGCTGGGATCTGTGTCAGGACCCAGGTTGGCTGGTTCTGCTGGACTGTTATGGGCAGAACAGGACGCTCAGGAGAGGAGGATCACTGAGGGCACAAATCCATTTGATTTGGGTGA